TTTTGAGTTTAGGTAGTAGACCTCTGTAGCCCAAACCCCACTCTCGAAATCACGCTGTGTCCTGAAATCGCGCTTCAAACTACCACCAATGACGCCCACTCAAAGGAAGTGGGCGGGATTGTGTTTTGAAGCTCCTTTACAGAATAGCGCATGACTTGAAGAGTGGTGTTTGGGCAAAGGTGTAGTTGGGGTCTATTACCACCAAACTTTAGGAAGGATCCATTTTGCTATCCATTGCCTATAAAAGCAATATTGCATGCATACCGTTCATGTCTTTATCATGAGTGCGCAATTTACGCAGTCAACTATTCAATATTTCAAATTTGAAATTTTGCGCGCTTCAGAAATGTACAACCTTGTTACGCAAAACCAACTGATTTCCCCCTTCTCATGCAGGACCCGAAGCCTTCATAAGTCCTGCGCTGAAGTCCTGCTTGCAGGTTGTACACAAAAGTTGGAAAATTTCCATAATGCATTAACTTCTGTCTGACCTCCCACAAAAGCGTCGCCAGCACCGTTTGTGTCAACAATCTTTTCTTTGGCAATTTTTGGCACAGGATAAAGCGTAGTTTTGTCTCCAACAGCTACTATAACAGAATCAGCTCCTTGCGTGATGACTACTATACGTTTTCTTTGCGACACCTGCAAGTAAACTTTTACTCAAACATCAGACAGGCCGCGGGAGGGATTTTGATGGAATCACCTTATCCCACAGCGCAATCTTGACTGCGATTTCCTCGTTGTTCGTTGTACCGAAGTTTGCGGCCTAAAAAGAGGTATTTACAATTCTTTTGCAAGTTGCTGTTTCTCATAAGTCATGTTCCGCCCAAAAAGAAAAGAAGTAAGGTGGTACATAGATTCGACTTTACCTTAGAGAACGCCGACGCTTCATCCTCATTGCCGAAAATAACATCAACATAGGGAAGAACTTCCTTCAAAGGTTCGAAGAAAAATTGTGAGATAAATGGTGCAGCTAGGTTGAACATGAAGATCTATAATTGTGTGAAAATCTATTTTATGATCATCTGCATGATCAACCAAAAAGACTGAAGCGCATTTGCAAACCTTATTGCTTTCGTGTGAATGCTTTGCGATGTGCATAATAGATGGGGGTGAAACAGTAAGGAAGAAACCCTTAAACAGAGTTGTAGAAGATTGGAGCAGATTTACTTCAGGCTCTCAACACTTCCTTTTGTTAAATAGAT